TTCTCCCTTTCTGCAGCTCCTGCTGCAGCCTAGCATCCCCCCCGCCCTGCTCCCCTCCTCTCCTTGTGCCGACCTGCCCCTCTGCAAGCCCTGGTTTGCCTGGGCATCCTGCCGCGGCACCCGCACCCCGTCCTGCTCACGGCTGTACCTTGTGCAATGACTTCCACCGCTGCTGGGCAGGGACGGAGCCGTACTGAAGTGTCACGTCCCCTTCAGCTGTTCTGTGCATCCCCGGCAGGGCACAAGGCACGGGAGGACTTGGGCCACTGGGGTTTTACACTCCTCACCCATGTTTCCCTTCCTCTTGGTTGCTGACCACGTAAGTACGGTGGAAAAAACTTTCTCTCTCAGATGGGAGGCCCCCCCCAATTTAAAATTAACCTGAGTTTGAAAATATGTGAAAATGAGGGTTGGATTATCACTTGCTGTAAATCAGTATCTTTGCATCCTTGGTCTGATGGAGCCAAACCTCTTTCTGAATGCTGAAGATGCAGCTCTGAGTGTAACAGAACAAACACAGCTCAAATAAGCTTAAAATGTAAATAAAGTCACCTAACAAAACCCAGGACTTTTGGAATCTTTGTCGTTGTTCTTCCACAACTGGGAATGTTATGTGCAAAAATGGGGATACGAGTGATCGGGGCCTGTGCGAGTGTGTGACAGCTGGGAGGCTGAATTGGTGTCTAAATGGGCAAATTGGGGAAAAATTGTTCCCCATCTGAAACGTCTTTGCTCCGAGACCACTGTCCTCAGCAGGGTTCCTGTGACGTAAAGGTGAGATGTGCTTCCAGCGTGCGGTGCCAGCAGCGGCCGAGGTGCATTGTGGACCCGGGAAGCTGGCAGATTTGGGGTGCGAGGAGGGTCAGAGCTCGTGGGAGGTTTCTTGTGGGTCTTGGTGCGTCTGAAGTCTATGGTCACGAATGAGTTGGAACAATGTCTCTAACCCTTCCAGTCAGATAGGTATCCCTTCCAGTGATAACCACTGTAAATGATTAACCATAGGGCAGGAATATGGTTAAAATAATTGCACTGGAGTATCGTTAAAGATGTGAGCAAAAGCCACAAAACCAAAACCTTCAGATTTAAGGATTTTTAATCTGCAAACACATTCTGTGTTAGCACTGCAGTAGGAACAATCAGCACGGACGATCGTGCAGGGTAGGGACTTCCACGGGGCTGCCCTGAGCCTGTTACAGTGAGGTACAATCCCTCCGTCTTGTGAAACCACTCGTTGATAAGGACCCGATACCACACCAGTGCTCTCAGTTACACGGCAAATCATACAGAGCTATTCGTTATTACGTAAAGCCATAACAGCCTGTGGGACCATCACGTGGTTTTTAAAAAATGTGTTGTTTTTTTTTTTTTAACTCAAACATTCCTTGGGCTAATCAAAATATTGAGAAAATGAAAACATTGATGTACTTCAGCTGTCAGTGCTCTGCCTGGGCTCTCCTCCTGCTGCCATTGCTGTGATCCTGGCGGCCTGCGGCCGTGCCCCCAGGCAGGCACGCCAGCAGCAGTGAGCACAAAACAGGGTGGTTAAGGAGGCAGGCTTGGGGAGACGGGCATTGGAGAGGCAGAACTGCCCTCCAGGTTTGCCAAAGTCTGACCCTATCTAGTGGCTGTCAGTTGATCCTGGCTGTTGAAGAAAAGTGGAAACTTGACACGTGAGTTCTGTATTTCTGAGCTTAATAGTACAAATCGACAGCCAGAGTGAGACTGAAGGCTCGTAATGTGAAACAGTCCAAGTGACAGCCTGGTGAAAAACACACACATGGATCTGCCGCCGAGCTCTGGGTAATGTAAGTTCTCCCTCGCCTTATGAAATAGACTGAACCAAAAGACATCTTTAATCCAGATGAGATGGGCCCATACTGGTGCATGTTTCCTCATGGGACATTTAAGTTTTACGCATTAAGCTATTGCGCAAAGACAGTGAGGGACAGAGCAAAGCTACTATTAGCAGCGAGCGGATGGCAGCAAGACACCAAAGCCTCTTCCCGCTTGAAAAAGTCAGCGTAAGAGCGGCACTTGGGTGCAGTGATACTGCCTGCGTGGCTGTGCTGGGGGCAATCAAAGAGGAGCGTGTGCGCACGCGTGCGCCGTAGATGCCAATTTAAATTCACAAACACTGTTAAATCAGCAGATGACTTCATCGATGAATCCAGACGGCTGAATTGCAAACTGTAGGGGAGATGGACGTAAAAGCAAAGGGAAAAGCTCGCTTTTCCCAGCAGGCTGAACGCTTGCTCCAGAAGCTACCATCTAGTCCTTGGAAAATGAAGCCAGGGTTTGCCCAGGGGAGGAGATCCATCGGTAGCCTGAGGGGGATGCTGCTCCCGGGATGTGGTTATGGGCACCCAGCAAGGAGGTAAATCAGCAAGTGGGACTGATGGTGGTGCTGGGGTAAGGGAGGTGTGTTCCTTTGATAGCTCCTTCCCTGTGAAGGTTTGCAGCTCACACCTCACCCCTTCACCCCCAGCTTTTACCTTCCATTTCTCTTCCCTCTGACGATAAAGGCAGACTCAGCTCCTGTGCACTCACAGCGCCTCACCAGTGCCAGGGGAAACGCACTGAGCCCAAGCTCTTCAAAACAGGGTTAAATTCACACATTTTATGCAGCATTTATGATACAAGTGCACTACATGGTCAGGTAGCGTAGCTCAGCTGGTGCGTGAGGAGTCAGTAAGCCATGGCAACTCATCATCTGATGTCCTGCCCCTCTCGAGCCCCGCAGATCCTATGTTCCTCATTGCACAGCTTCAAAAGGGGTTTGTGGCTGTCCATGTTGCAGCCTCCACTGCGTGGTGAGGAGTGTCCCCAGGGGAGGTGTTTCAGGAATCTGTTGGCTCCAGTCATGGTGGCCCCACGGTCTCCCTTACACCAGCCTGTCAACAAAAATGCACAACAGCTGTCCACGGCCACCTCAGTGCTCGAGGCCAAGAAACTGTGCCCAGGGGCTGAATTTGCGATGTCCTCACTGGCATGTCCCGCTGGTGGTGTTCCTGTCTCCTGCCATGGCCATTGCAGCTGACCACCCCACGTGCTGTCCACTGCACTGCCTAGGGCCAACCCCACTACATCGCTGTGCAGGCGCCGACCCTTGGCGTTATGAGTCCTGAAAAATGAAATATTGCCTGCGACACAGCACTTTACAGAGTCTGGGTGGTCCTAGTGACTGAAATGAATAGTACATCAATTGTACCTGGTCAAGTGTGAAAAAATCCTCATTTTTGGATGAGTGCCACTAGGTGACATCCTTGAAGGCCAGCATGAGAATTGCAGGAAAAGGAGTGGGGAGAAAAAAAATAGAGTATGATATAATATAACACAACATAAGTCACTTTATATGCTTTATCTCAGAAGTGAGGAGGACGTAGAGGTGGGAACGCCACTGGGTTTTACATCTGAGCATCATGGCTCACTTGGGTCCTGCACCCCAGTTGTCACCTGCTTGTCCGCTTACCCCTTTATTGTCAGTCCTGGTATTGCTCCAGGACTGTGGAGGCATCCTGTCCGTAAGATTGATAGCTTTTCAGAGGAGCATAGCTGGTAGAGCCCCATCTGCCCTCCTCAGTTCCCTCCTGCCTGCACCCACTCCCAGGATGTCGTTGTTTTATCTTTAAGCCTGAGGGTTGCTTTAAAATTATCTGGGATGAAAACCTGGCTCCACTGAAGTCATT